CCATGGGCGGGGCGAGCTCCAGCTGTAAGAGAGAGTAGGGGACAGGCTGGAGCTAGGTGCTGTATCTGAGGGCAGCAGCACCACACCTGCACCCTTCTGACCCCGTCTTTGACTGCACACCTCCACAGTGGGGTGACAGCATGGCTCCCCTGCTCCTCTGTCCCCATCCTGTACCTCAGCAGGTGCCGTCAGCACGTTTGTCACCACCGGTAGGATCTCTTCTCCCCTGAGCTCCAAGGCCACCCCATGCTGACTGAGCTGTGTCAGGAGGAATGCTGCAGCACCCTGTGGGACAGGGAAAGCTCAGCACCTTTGGGACTTTCCCATCTGCCTGCTCAATGCTGATTCTTCATCCCTCGGCCCAGGGCAGGGACAGCCAGGCTGCGCCTGCCCCCATCCCACCCTGAGCAAGCAACCCAAACGGGACATGGGGTTCTGCAGGGCTCAGTGACGGCTCTGGCAGGGTGGGCAGACTTACCACAAGGGAGACGACAGGAGACTGGGTGATGAGATCCATGGCCAGGGTAACCACCTCCTCAAGCCTGAAACACAGGGACCAGGGGAGAGGCACTGTGTTCCCACAGCTTCACATGCCACAGAGCAGCAGCATCCAAATATCCCCAGGGCTGGGAAACAGCCATCTTGCAGGAGGAGCGAGCCCTGGTTCACAGCACCTCCTTGTCCACGCTGGGTCCTCACCGCATCCCCAGCACCCACCCATGCTGCCCAGCGCTCTGCTGATGTGTCCGGACTGCAGGGATCAGTGGGAGCAGAAGCCCAGCTCTGGGCAGGGTGCTGGGCAGAGGGCTGTTCAGGGCAGGGCATGTTCCTCTCCCACCCATGAGCAAAAGTGGGTGCTTACCTGGGAGGGGAGGCCTGGAGCTGCAGGGTGAGCAGGGCCAGCAGATACAGTGAGGCCTCGCAGGCTGCCCCCTGGGCCACCGCCGCCATGAGGACCTGCCAAGGGAGCAGGAGTCACAGGGGGACAGCAAGGCTGGGAGGGGAGGAAGGGACGTTTCTGGGTTCTGGAGGAGAACTGCACTCTCCAGACTAAGCTCCCCCAAACTCTTCTCCCCACACGTCCCCCCGCTTGGTCTGAGCAGCGCTCAGAAGAATGCGTCCTGCTTGCCCACACTCCTACCCCACCACCGGGGCTGCGGTCAGGCCTACCTTGGCTTTTGAGAGCTGCATGAGGGAACCCCACAGCCGCTGGCTCCTTCCCAGGTGCTGGCAGCCAGCGTAGAGGATCTGCGAGGCAGAGGGGAGAGATGCATACCAGCCCCTGGGAACAGGGACATGGTGACCAGGCCCATCCCAGCCACAGCCCATTTATTCAACAACTGACACCAGGGAGATGGGAGTCATTGAGGGCTGAGCCTATGGTTCCCCCTTCCCCATGCTTCTAACCCCAGACCAAAGGTCCAGGCACCTCTGGGGACAGCCAGATAAATGGATGGGACCATTACCTTGAGCACGTTCAAGGAGCAGCTTGGGTGCTCCAGTCTCCCCAGCAGCCTCCCAAGCTGCTGGCTCTCTCCCTCCATAAGCTTTTCAGCTACCTCCTGAGCGACCTGCAGAAATCAGCCTGTTTTGCACCCTGGGCACCTGAAGCACTGCACAGACTTAAGGAGTTTAATGCTAGCAACAAATTAATAAAAGAAGGCATCTGCTTCCTACATGTTGCCTGCGTTCACAAAGGGATGCCCATCTGCCATGACCCAGCATGGCTTTGATGCACAGTCCCACAGCTGAGATGAGCAAGGTGAGATTCCTCCTCTGTTTCCCTCCTTGTTGACTCAGAGCCGAGTTAAAGGATCAAATGTAAATCTGTAGCTTTGTTTTCCCTCTTATTTATTGTCCATTCAATTTCAGATTTCCTACAGTTCATATCACTGTCATATAAGAATTCTTCATGTTTTCTCTGCATTGCCTAGTTCTTTGCTTAGCCCATCCCGCAGTTCAGATCCTAAATGTGAGTCTCTTAATTGACATAGGAGTCCTTAGACTCCTGAAGCTCAGCCATTGGCTGGGAAGGAGCAGCCTGCAAGCACCAGCCCTGCAGCCACCAAAGCTGGAGGACCCCAGCCCTCCACTCTGCTGCTGAAAAAGAGACCCTCCTGCAAAGGGTTGCTGTTCCTGCGAGGACCACACCTCCTTGCCCTGCAAACAGAGCTGGCCTGACCTGCTGCTTGGCTTTCCGACAGCTGTTCCTCTCCAGGGGGATGCTGCAGGCAGCAGCCAATGCAGCCGTGAAGAGGTCTGCCACACATAAGCTCTGGTCATGGGCTGACCTGGCCTCCATTGCTGCACCTGCACAAGGAGAGAGCTCGGGAGACATGTGCTAAGGGTGAGGGCTGCTGAGGGGCAGCAGGACGGGGCTGGAGGCCAAGAGAGGAAAGGTCAGGCTTCTGACATGAGGAGGGTGAGATCTGGGACTGAGGGAGAGAACAGGAGAGCCCTGGTTAGCAGGGGTTTGGGCAGATAAGCTTCAGCCACCTCCTCCGGCCAACAGCACTGCAATGGCAGTCAGTGCTCTGAGGGAGCCCAAGGGCAGGAGGGAGAGGGGAAACCCCAGGAGAAGGTGGTGAGCTGCCACCACCGCTACCTCGCAGAGCAGGCTGCTCTGAGATGGATCCCTGGAGGAGTCTGTTTAGCAGGGGCTGATGCTCCTCTCGCAGGCCGGCATAGAAGGAGGCAGAGACGGAAGGGCACGTCGCATCCAGGCTCTCACAGAGTAGGGTGAAGCACTGAGGGAGACACAGGGGTGGCCATCACTGCAGATCAAGGGTGGGACGAGAGAGAAAGGCGATGGGGGAGGAGGCTGTGGGGGAACAGCAGAGATGGGAAAAAGACTCGTGCTGGAGCTGCAGAGACCTCCAAGTGTTCTCTCCAACCAGGTTACTGTGTGGGAGCCAGTAACTCTGGCTGAGAGAGGGGTACACATGGAGGCACAGCCAGGGAAAGCGCCCCCTCAGAGAGCTTGTTTCTGCATGTAATCCCCCCAAAACTCCCAGCGGGTGAGACAGCCTGCTCTGACAAGAATGCATCAGACCTCACAGCTGGGAGCAGGGTCCTCAGCCTGCATTCCCCCTGACATGCACACCCAGCCCCACAGCTTCTGTCCCTGGGGGAGAGGGTGGGGAGAAGGGAGACAGGGGCACCCTTACCAGGAGGCTTTGCTGGCAGAGTCTCATCTTGCTGTCGGCTGGCTCAGCCAGCAGCTCTGGCAGCAGGGCTAGGAAGCAGCCAGCACTCTCCCGGAAGGCCTGCAGGCTGGGGGAGGCAGCAGGGACAGAGGAGAGCAGAGAAACACAGGCCATGGCTGTGAGGACAGGGTCTGGCCAGGCCCATATGGCCCTGGCTAATACAGCAGGCAGCACACACTAGCACTGTGAGCCAGTGCCAGCAGGCAGCACAACCAGACCCTAGTCAGCTGTGCCTTCCCCTTAATTAGTCCCACTCACAGAAAGCGCTCCTCTGTGGGCACAGCGATATGGCATGAAGCACTCGGCCCGTGATGCTTCCCCACGGAGACAGCTCCAGCCACAGAGTACGAACACCACCCTCCCGCCTACTGCTGGGTCCCCGCAGTGGCCACAAGAGACCTCAGAGCACAGAGGGTTGTCCCTACCTGTCCTTTTGCCCACTCTCCTCCAGGCTGCATTCACTGCTGAAATAAACTGTGGTCACCATGAGGAGGTCTGTCAGCACCATGATACACCAGGGCTGCTGCAGGATCCAGAAAGAAACAGCAAGTGGGGATTGTCTGCTGGCCATCCCAACACCTCCGCGACGGGATCCTTCCCTGCCAGGACCTCCCCCTTCTCAAGGGGGCCTGGAAGAGGCACTGGTCCAGTGAGCCAGCTCCAGCAGGACACCAGGGCCTCCGCAGCACCAGCACTCTGCAGGGCTGGAAGGAGCCCAAATTTCTCTGGGATCCTACACCCACCTGCTTGGTGCTACCACTCTCCAGGATCTGCTTGGCTAGACACAGCAGGGACAGAGGCACATTCAGCTCTCGGCAGAAGTGGTCCAGCAGCTCAGAGTCACATTGGGTAGCCAGGAGGTTGCCCACAACACGGAGCACAGGGCGGAGACGGGAGGCTCCCTCCAGCATCCCTTCCAGCACCTGGACACAGAGAAGCCAGAACAGCTTGTGATCAGCAGTGGTTGTGGCCTCTCCATCAGGCACGGGGCAGCCCTCCACCCCTTCAGGCAGGGGACAGCAGGGGAGCAGATGGCAAGCTAAGCGCACAAGACAGCTCCGGCTCCTGGAGAAGCAGAGGATCTCCTTGCTGGCTGGACTGAGGACTCCCCCAGTGCTCCCGACCCAATCTTGGGGAAGAAGGCAGCATCCACGTCCCCAGTCATAGTTGTCTGAGCCAGCCATCACTCACCTGCTGAGCAGAGTCTGCCAGGCGGGCCTGGACACGCTGCTGGAAGGCCAGGTCCCTCAGGAGGCTCAGCGGTGTGCTCAGCTGCATGGCCAAGGGCTCTGTGGCCTCGATTAGGTGCTGCCACTCCTCATCGCTCTCCAGCTCCTAACCACGGAGGAGAGAGGGCTGCTGCCACAGACCCTGCCTGCCCCAGGGTCTCTGTACCAGCCCCTGGGGACTGGGCTCTGCTGTCCTCACCACAAGACACCGTCTTACCTCACTCTCCAGGTCCACGGTCTCGATGCTGCCCCTACCCCGGGGCTCTGCCCTGCCAGTACCAGGCTGCGGAGGGGCCCCTGCTCCAGGAAACTCCCACTCGTAGTCTCGAGTGATGCTGTGCTCCCTGGCCAAGGAAACAGTGCAGTCAGTGAGCGACCCTGCCTTCCCCTCTTCCTCCTCTCCCAGCCCCAGCCCTCCCTCACCGTGGGTTGGGTGGAGGCTCCCCCAACTCCCACTCTGCCATGCTGCTCTTTCCTTGCAGGACACTGGGGGTTTTCTCTTTGGAGGCAGCCGGTGGCTCCCCCTCCACGAGGGCTGCCTTCCCAGGAGCTGCTCTGGGTCTAAGTCCTGGGCATCCTTTGCCAGAGTCCTTCATAGATGCATCACCTGCCTTCAGTTGCCCCTGGATGATGGCAGAGAAGTTTGGTCAGGGCAGGGTTACTCAGCCAGACGAGCCCCCTAGACCCCACCACCCCGAGGACCCCACATCCTGCCTTATGTGTGGCTGACACCCCAGCCTGACCCATGTACCTTCTGCCTTTCCCCCCAGCTCCCGTTTCAGTGCCCTTCCTTTGTCCTGACTGTGGGACACAGCCAGGGGAATCCCACACTTTCTTCCACCTTTTTCTGTGCCTCCTCAGCCATCTTCTGACGGGCCTTTCTCAGGATCCTGGACTGACCGCTCCTGGGGGCCAGGGAATGGGCTTGCTGCTCCTTCAGGGCCTGCAGCTCTGGGGACAGCTTGGTGGTGAAGGGGTTTGAGATCCCGTGCTCTTCTGTGTCATCAATCACTGGGGAGGCGAGGGGAGAACTTCAGCAGCAGCTCTCCCTTGAGACACAGGGAAAGTGACTGGCTCTGGGATCCGAGGGGAATCCTGGGGGACCCAGAGCAAGCCCAGGGGCAGGAGCTAGGGGTCAGCGCTTGGAGGAAGCTGAGAGGAGGGAGGCAAAGAACAGGGTAGTAAAAAAAGCAGGGCAGGGTTGTCCTCCCAGCCTCCAGGCAGTAGGAGGAGGAAACAGGAGGAAACAGACCTGACCAGCGCTGGAAAAAGAGCTGATACTCACCAGTAACCCGTCCAGCAATGAAGGGGTGAGAGAGCAGCTCCGGCCACGACAGGCGCTGGTGGGGGTCCTTCATTAGTAATCCCTGCAGGAAGCTCTACAGGGCAGCACAGTGCCAGGGTCACTGACACATGCTCGGCACCCACCAGTGAGCACAGTGTACCCACCAGTCTCCCGCAGTGAGGGTACCCAGGAGGTCTGCGTTCCCTTGCCTGGCTCTGGGGAAGGAGTGGCTCTAGTGCTTAGGGCAGATGGGAAGACACTGCCCTTCCCAGCCCAGTAAATCACTCCTCTGCTGTCGGTCCCAGTTTCCCAGCTTACAGAGGGACAGCAGTGGTAAGGGTCCCCCTCCCAGGAGGCCAAGCTCTCATCCCTTCTCTGTGTTCTGAAATCCCTGTTAGGGGACATAAAACCTAAGAGTGACCCACCAGGGCAGCAGATGAGGCCAAAGCTGCTGCCACGTCAGCGGATCTCACCCCACAGACAGGGCCTTCGCCCCTACCTTGAAGACTGGGCTTATGGCCTCGGGCCATTTGATGGGGTCCTTGACGATGAGGCTGACGAGCTGGAAGATGCTGCTGGTGTAGAAGGGAGGAGTGCCCACAAACAGCTCATACAGGATACAGCCCACAGACCACAGGTCCGCTGTGTGGTCATACGGCCGCTCCTCCACCAGCTCAGGGGACATGTACAGCGGGGTGCCTTTGATAGAGGTCAGCACCATGGTGTGGATGCTCATGGCACGGGCAAACCTGCTCAGAGCAAAGCACAGATGGCCAGTTCAGGCTAAAACATCTGTTGCAGCTCCCAGGGAGATCCCTACGAGTTTACCAACACCTCTCCCCTCTGAAGTCCAAAATCCCCTATCCCTGCTCAACATCTAAATATGCACAGAATCCAGGTCCCCTTCCACACACACCCCTCCTCCTCTACAGCACCCAGGACACCCCTTGGCCGCCCCAAGCCCAAGTGTCCCCCTCAAGTTGGCCCCCAGCACCCACCCAAAGTCACAGAGCTTGACGACGCCGTCTTTGCCCAGCAGGATGTTCTGGGGTTTCATGTCACGGTGCAGGATGCGGTGGGAGTGCAGGTAATAGAGAGCAGAGACCAGTTGGGCAGCTATGGTCTGGACCTGCCGGAGACACGGGAGCCTCACCCTGTGTCCTATGGTGCCACCAGCCAGCACAGCCATGGGGTCCCTTACGGCCTGGCTCCCCCACTACCCTCACTCCTGCCCTTGCCCTGTTTGGGGCAGGGACTAGCCCCAGCCGTGGTCCAGCAGTTCCTCGGAGTAGGCTGATGGCCGAGGCAGCAAACCTGGTGTTGTTTTCCTTGGAGAGGGAAGAGGGAGACTGTCCCGCAATGCAACCTGGCTCCCTTTCCACCCCCTTCAGAAGCTCTGCCAGGTAAACCCTCGGAGGCACCCTCACCCTCCTGATGTCACCTGGCCCACAGCAAAGACCTGCTGCCTGCAGGCAGACAAATCCTGTTCTCTCCACCCTGCAGCAAACACTGCGTGGCCACCGCCATGAGAGTCACCTGGTCCTCGGGCAAACTTCCATCATCCTCCAGGATCTGGAAGAGCTCCCCCTCTGCGTAGTCAGTCACCACTACCACCTGGAGGGAAGAGCAGCACAGTGGGATCAGGCACTCACCCAGCCGCATCCCCACCATGCCCTAGGGACCAGGACAGAGCAGGGCAGTAAATCAATGAGGGAGACACTGGGGTGTCGTCATACACAGCCCATCAGATTGGGCTGGGACGTGGGGCAGGACAGAGCCCCTGTGGCTGCACTGCAGCAAGGGCCTGGCATTTAGCAGAGCCCTTGCGGCTGTCCTTACCTCGGACAGCCAGCAGAAACCAGGGAGGAGCAAAGGACAGGACAAGCCCAGAATGGTATTTCCACACCCAGTTGGTAGAATCACTCCCTTTAAGCTTGTTTTGAATCTGCTGCGCAATTACTTTATTTCATGCCCCCATGTCCCATAGCATAGTCTTCAATCCTTCCCTATCACACTCTCTCCGTGCCAGTTTAGGCCAGTGAAAAGTCACAGTCTCTGAAGATCCCTGTGATCCCAAACCACTCCTCTTCCATCACACCCCCCCCGTCCAGCTCCTTCATCTCTGTGCGTGACCCAGTGCACCCCACACAGCCCAGCCAGTTGCTGGCTCCCCACACAGCACATACTGGAGGGCTCTGAAGAACACTGACCAGGCTGGCGTCCCAGTCCTTGTTCAGGCAACCCCCACGTAAGGTCCCCGCATGTCCTCAGGGAGGGTGGGAATGCCCTGTGGGCAGGGGACCTCAATGTGGCCATCTGAGGGAGCGGAGTAGGCTGTTGGCAGGATGGCAGCACCCAACGCAAGCCAGGAAGCGGCTGGGAACAGAGCAAACCTGGCTGGCTGGAAAGGCTGCTAGAGCCCCGGGAGGGTGTCACCAGCATCTCCTGAGAAAAAGGTCCCTACGACAGCAGGGGCCAGCCCTTGTTCCCCTGCCCCAGTCAAGCAAAAGCATCTGCCCCGAGAAAGTCCCCTTCACCTCCTTGTCGGTCTCAAAGCTGTCGAGCATCTGGATGATGTTGGGGTGGTGGAGGCCTCTCATGATCTCAATCTCCCGCTGCAGGTTCTTCAGCTCCTTCTCAGACCTCCCCACCTTGGGGATGAACTTCAAGGCCACCACCTTTCAAAGCAGGCAAAGCTGGGATCAGACCAGGCTCCCACCTGCCCTGGCAGAGGCTGCATTTAACCCAATCAGGACTCAGCATTTTCCAGCTGAGCACACCAAACGAGAGATTTGTTCACTGGATCCCTTGAAGCTGGGGCTCCCCCAGGCCCTTGCACATTGACACTGGTGCTCACGGTACTTTGCACACTAGCATATAAAGCAAACAATTGTAATCAGTGAGCGCAGACAAAACTAGGACTGACAGAAACACGGGACAGGAGGCAGAGATGCTGGCGGACAGCAAGCTAAACACGAGACAGCAGCGTGCCCCGGCAGTGAGGAGCACTAGCAGCACCCTGGGCTGTATCAACAGGCAGGAGTTTGAGGGAAGTGATTATTGCCCTTTACTTGTTCGAGCATATTGGCAATATTGTGGCCATTTTTTGGCACAGAATGACATCGATAGGCCGGAGTGGGTATAGCAGAGGCCACCGGGATGGCGAGGGGGCTGCAGCACGTGGCACACAAGTTGAGGCTGGGGGAAATGGGCTTGGTTAGCCTGGAGAAAAAAATGCTCAGGGAAGCCAAATAGTAATTTTGTGATTCCCAAAAGGAGGTTTCAGAGAAGATGGAGCCAGGCTCTTTACAGACATGCAAAGTGGGAGGATGAAACAGGGATTACAAGCTGAAACAGGGGAGCTTTCAACTTGATATAAGGAAAAACCATTCACCCCACGTATAGTCAAGCACTGGCTGCGGGGTCTTTGTCCCTGCGGTTTGGCAGGATCTGAATTTAGCGCGGACTCTGCTTTGAGCAGGGGATGGACTGGGGACCTGCAGAGGTCCCTTGAACCTGAATGACTCCACGCCGGCAGGAGCTGGCCAGGAATGTCAGCAGAAAAATGAACGAGTGCCGAGTCCCAAAGCCCTGGCAGGGCCCTGGAACCAAACAGCCACCAGAAATCAGTCCCCAGCGCCACACAAGGGACCCCCGTCCCTCTCCCCTGCCGCCCCTTTCCTCACCTGGGCGCTGTGCTTCCGGCGCCCCT